CACTAGTCTAGGTAAGTCCATGTTCGATCGGTAGTGTGTTTCCAGGTTTTTCTTGATTGAATGTTTCTTGATTTATGTCATAAGTGCAATCAAGAAAAATTATTTTGTTGGCTGACCAAAAAGATTGGCCACAACTGATCTATCAGAGTGAGAGTAACCAACGAAATGAAGAAGAACAACAATAAAATTACATTTGTATAGCGCCTTTCACGTCGGGAGGACATCCCAAGGCGCTGGAAAATAAAGATGCAAATCATTGTTCAAATGGCTGATATATATAATGTATTGCAATTCTTAACAGTTCATCTGACTGATAAGTCAGACATGATCGAAACTCTGAAGATGAAATATAAGTGTGGCACTTTTGATTTGATGTAATGCTTACAAAAAGAGTCCCAATAAATCTCTGCCTAGTTTTATAGAAGATAGAAATGCTGGTTCTCTAACTACTGAATCTACCTACTTGCCCTGGAATCCTGGCACAGGAGCGTTTGATGAGCCTCGGAGTTCAAAGAGGCTGGCAAATCCTGGCTTACAGTACTCCAAAATGTGAGTGAACTATAGACCACATAATCCTCTTGAACTGGATTTTCTGTGGGCAACCAACTCCAGGATATTGCTGCACAGTTTTGTTTATACGAATTAAGAAGAAAATACTGAATCTTATTATTAACTTTTTTTTATTTTTCCCCTTCCAATGTTTACCCCTTCCCGCACAATATATACTTTTCACAGTTGAGAGGACAAAGTCAGAGACCTTCTTTGTTCATGCTTTAAGGCTTATTTTCTCCTTGTTGATAAATCTGCTGTCACCTAGGTGTGCATTTATAATAGGATTTCAAATTATAAATGCTTGTCACCAGTGGTAGACATACAGTTGAACTTGCTCAAGAACAGGCTGGATTACTGACCCTCCCTTCTCTCTTTCTCTCTGCTTCTCCCACACTTTCTCCTTCCGTTTCCTACTCAATGAGAATTTCCCAGTGATGACGCAGTTTTGAGCTGAAACTTGTGGGGAATCACAGGTGTAACTCTTTGCTGCCAGTCTGTGTACAAAGCCTCTCTATACTGTGCCATCTGCAGTAAATTATACACATCTGAAAGGCACGAGACTACTTCTCTGGAGCAGTGAGTTGCCTCTAGACCAATCTTTCACATATTTTACTGATGCTGGCATATTCCTTTTAATTTAAGGGGTGGATGACAAATGAGACTCCCATCATGATCCAAAGCCAAGGACATAAAGTATAAATGACTGGGCATCCATTTGGTGGAGTCTCTTATTCAAAATTTATTTTTGAATTGGTTAAAAAAGCTTTGTGAATAGCCTCGAGCAGTGATTTACTGGATAGCCACCAACAAGGAAAAAAACTGGTTTATAACCTTTTAATAACCTGGTAAATGTGATGGAAAGTGTGCTTATTCATACAGAAGACCCAGTCATGAAGCTGACTGGTAGCTAAGGTTGCTGTAGGCTGTAGACATCAGGACTGCTACACTGTGACCCTGATTGCTTTTGATTGATGTTCAGGGCAGCAAGGTCAATCTGCAGTTATCACTAGATGGCAAATTTATTTTAAGACAATGCAGACAACATTGGTTTGCCATCATTGTATTACAAGTACCCATTCCTCCTTTTAAATTGTATATCCAATGATTGCAATATTTATTGCTTCAGTTATGTTGTATGTTTAGTGACAGTGTTAGCTATCCTCCACGTTGTTTCAATGCCATATGTTCAATGTAGCACAAATGATTTTCCAGAAGTGTGAATCGGTATCCCAAGCCCATTTTTATACTGCACATTGCTGCCGTAATTGCAGCCATTCACCACCAAACACAGATTTAAATACACAAACAGCTTTTCACTATATTAAACAAGTCAGAATTACACCCGCAAAATGCTTAACTGCTCGTTTTATCACGCTCCACATTGTATATTGTTGATCGAGATGTAATTTAGGTGCATAGCGTATTGTATTTGGTATATAGTAACATTAGATCAAGCAGTCTACACCTCACAGAGATATACATCATTATGTTTGGTAGTAGTGATGGTCTGCACAGCTGAAAAGAGAATCAGCTCAGTCAGGATGCAGGAAGCCAGAGTGAGTGGGCAGAGGCTGTATTTTAACTTAAAGCTGTCTAATGTACACTTCACTACAGATAGACGCTTCCCCAAGGTCCACAGGTTCTCCAGCTTCCAAACAATCTGCTGATAAATATGAGAGCTATATAATTGTCTTCTCAACCCCATTGCTGATTACAGGATTTCAGCTGCTAAGTGAATCAATTTAATACTTATATTCCCAGATTAATGAGATAATAACAGCTGTCCAGAAGATAAGGCTGAAATGCCTCTTAGCTATTTTGAAATGCTTTTTGTTTCTTAGATAAGGAACACTAAAATCAGATTTTATCGATTTTCACCGATAAATAACTGGATTTTTTTTTTGAGTGAAAGTCAATCGTTTTTTTTAAAAACAACTTGTTGCCCAAATCTCCTTTTTAAAACACTGAATTTACTCAATTTGATTTGGCATCCGTGGTGGCATACACACAATCCCAAACTCGCTTCACTGCACTGTTGGTTCTGGGAATATGCACACATCTCATTGCACAGGTGCCAAGTCAGTTCTGGGATTGTGTATACAGTGTTGGACAAGCCAGTAAATCAGTTCCAGGATTGGATGCGCAATGCCATATGCAAAAAATGGAACTGACTTTGCAGGGAGGTGGCATTACATCACATATGCATTCTTGTTGTGGAAAAAATCAATTAGATTTGTAGCTTGATATTTCCCGGTAAGTCTTAATTTTCATTGATTTTTCCTAGGATTTTTAGTGTCAATTCCCCCTCACAGACCCCAATTTTCTCCTATTTATTTTTGACAGAAAAATAGGCTCTGACAAAAATGGCAGTATACCCAGGGTTTTATATTGTGGATGGGAAAAAATGAAAATTACTTTAATGGCCCTTACTTCTTGAATTTGTGATCTATAAAATATTGCTATAAAATACTTTTGTTATAAAATTATCCAATTGTATAATGTCAGACTTGAGGAGCTAATAGCATGGTGTTTTATTTATAGAGATGCTCATTGCAACAATCACAACAGTCTATGCAGTGGCAGTCTTGATGCCTTACAACAATGTTTTACTCAGAAAATATTGTGCTTAATTTTGTCTTTAAACCACAATCACACAGAATTTTCAATTAAATGCTCCAGTATAAATTTAAGATTTAGCCCTCTGAGCTTTGCAGACATATTTGCTTACCAAGGGGCTAGGGGCTATCATGGAGTATGCTCATGCGTCAACTCTCTTCCTACTTATGCATTAATAGCATGCCATAAATTGATCAAGTCACACCTGAAATAACCATCAAGCATACAAGTGTTGGCTTTAGATGGCTAAAGGAAAACTTGCCATCACCTCTGTAATGAACATGAGAGCTAGCAAGCAGGAGGAAGAATGGAGAACAAACTTTTTAATGAACTTTTTAAAGAGAGAGCAAGGGTTAGGAAAGATGGAATAGTTACATTAGGTCATAGAAAGGTCGTTAGTTTAAAAATCGAGCAGTGTGTTGAGAGCAAATGGGAAGAAAAAGGGATGTCAAGCACAAGAATTCTTTAGGGTTTGTTTTTAAATTACATGTATGTACGTTTTAGTTCTATAAGGTAATACTAGCCTTTGATTAGTTTTATTGCTTTAATATTCATGTCTATTCAACATTGTAGGCCTGAGGTGAAAGCAGACTGGTTGAAATGTGTCCAATTTCATTAAAGTGAGATCTTGATTTCTCTGATGCTCAGCTGTTGTAAAGTCACAGCCAAATTAAGATGGAGCCGTAAAGACCATGTACCAATTTCGAAAGCCAACCTGAGATCATTGGCAAAAAGGATGCTTCGATAGACCACTTTGGCCCTGGGGTAGAGAGAAAGGACAAAAGCGGGACGATTCTTATTCATGATTTCCTTCCATTGACCCCAACTGGAAAGTATGCGTGTGGATATCTGATTAGGTCTAAATCTATGCTTATCTTCTGCCCTTCACCACCGTCAAATAACCTGTTGACCTCCTAAGACCATGAATGAAAATCCCTTGCATGAGATATTGGAAAGGAGCCTTAGGTCAATTGGACCCAGCCAGCACCTGCAGCCAGTAGCTTTGTGACATTGTCGAGTCCTGTAGCGTATTGGTTAGATCACTCACCTCACAAGTGAGAATACCCGGGGTCGAACCTTAGGCAAATTTCCTTACTCCACACGCCTCAGTTTACCTTGCAGTATGTAGGAACCCGGTTGTTAGACAATTGCCTCACCGCTTGTCAATCTAATAATCCCTTCAAAAAGATATTAATAATGAATAATAATTTGGTCACTCAATCCACGACTGTTTGTGGGACACTGCTGTGCGCAACTGGCTGCTGCATTTCGCCTGCAAAATATACAGTCAATTCACTTTATAGTATATTCTGTGAAGCGCTTTGAAACATCTCGATGAAATAATAAGGTACTATGTCAAATGCAAGGATTATTATTATAACTGCATTGAATTGTCACTTTACATACAAATATTAACCTTTCATTTTACAGTACAATATATGCCTGAAATCCAGTTGCAGTTATACGTGGGAAATAAAGTAATGGTAAATTACCAGAGATTTTTCATGGCACATGTTCATTTAGTATTACACGTTAGTACCTTGGTTCATAAGATTGAGGATACGGCTGATGTCTACATTTATTAATTAGCTATATTATTAAATCAACAATATCTTGGATAATTAGAAGGCTAAGTCAATAATGTCTTGGATAACTTGAGGCCAAATCACTTCGAAACCCAGAGAGACTTCACTTATCTCTCTTCATCCCTCTCCCCCCAAAGAATGTTGTATCTCCTAGAATATGTTGAAATGTGTTTATCTGATGCATAGCTTTTTTTTAAAAAGTGCAATTTGCTGTTAGCTTTCACTTTGCTTGCTTTTCAATTTCAGGTTTCGCCACAGCCCTAATTGCTTTTATGTAAGAGACTGGACAATCCACAGCTGGATAAGGAAGTGTTTGATGTACGGAGCACGGGAAAAGGCCTTGCACACACTAAAAAATCAGGTACAGTGCAATTTTAAAAGTTACAATGAGACAGAGACTCGTAAAAATGATTTATTACATTTTAAATTTTCTAGACGGTCTGCATGTCTGGGACTACACGACAGTTTAATATCATTCTCATCTTCAGTTCCGGATTGCAAAAAGTAATCTTTTAATAATACAAAATTCATTCCAATTTATTTTGCCAATAATGAAACTGAATTTTAATTTTTCTTTAGACCAGGTGATAAATCTAGTAATCCATTCCATTTTTTTACCAAATTGCCTTGTTCTTTTGTCCAGTGTGTAGCACCTTGGATTTGTGCAACCTGCCACAGAAGAAGGCCATTCAACCGGCATATCTATTTTAGCCATTTTATGAGATCATGGCAGATCTTTTTAATTTCATTCCACCGCCCGTCTCCATATCCCTTAATACCTTTACTTCTGAAATATCTATCTATAATATTTTTCAGTTATTTGCACAGAAAGAGAGTTGGTCTTGAGCAAATAATAATATTAATCCTTGCATTTGATTTGGCGCCTTATCACATCTTCAAGACGTCTCAAAGCGCTTCTGCTTAGATCATATTTAAACTGGCCATTCACTTCATGGCTATTTGTGGGAGGCTGTCTACCATGTTCACCTACAAGTAGTACACAGTCACTACATTTTCCAGTAAATTCCATGAAGTGCTTTGAGACAGCCTTCCAGACTTGAAAGGCGCTATATCAAATGTAGGGATATTATTATCTGCAGCATCTCAGTTTTAAAAATGCCATCTACAACCTTTTTGGGCAACATATTCCACATATTTAACAATAACAAGATTTCATTTATAGAGCGCCTTTCACGTCGGGAGGACGTCCCAAGGTGCTGGACAGTTGGGTCGGGACCCGAGCAAGGGGGAAATGGTCAGGATGAGGGGAGGGAAGGGAGGGAGCGAGGAGGGGGTAGAGAGTTAACAAGCCTTTGTGGATGAAATTTTGATTCTTCTTTGTCATGGTGATTAATAATACTGATAATTGTAACCAGTGTTGTCAGGTTTCATTTATAATCCTTTCTTTCCCCTGGAATCTTCAAATACTGTATGTTATTATGTTTGCTGTGGTCTCAGTGCAGGATATTGAATGCTGAGACCTGCAAGGAGACATCTTAGCCTCTGTAATTAATGTCCTGGAGTTAGCTATTCTTGCATAAAATGTCTGAAAATTGCCTTGCCCACGTTGTGCAAAAAGATTTGCTGGCATAATGCAACGTATGTACACAATGTATCTGAATAAGTGTGGGTGAGAAGGTATTCTAGAGGAGATGAGAATAGGTGTTCTGCTTTCCTAGTAGGAATTTATACAGTCTATGTATAATTTAAAAATGTATTATAATTCTGGATTAATGAGGACTGTTACAGGCAGGATGATTTTTTTTTAATAGACTGCACGTCATGGGAGCTGACACCTAGCTCCTGAACCAAGTTACCAAGCTACTTGAAAATCCCTTTGGGTTGGGATGAATTCAGTTAATGCAAGTGGGGGCAGGGGTTGGCGGGTAGGGAGTGGGCAGGAGATGGAGTGGGCAGGAGGTGGTCCTTTTATTTAAAAATCATGTTTTGTACAAAATTAAAATGAGCTGCTACCATTCTCATTTTTATATTGTGGCTAAACATCCAAACCCTCCCCCTCCTTATTTAAAAATAAAGATAAGTAAGCTGAATGGAGGCAAAGGCCAACTCTTAACGTGTTTCTGGTTTGAACCGACAGCACTGATATTCCCTTTCATCATTTTATTTTGCTTGTGTGAAAATAAGAATACTCTATAAACAAACAAACAGCGTATAATTTGTATTACGTTTTTGATGCAATATTGTTGCTCGCAACCCTCTGATTAACCTGCTCGTTTGAGGACTATAAATGAAAGCTAACCTTTGCCATCTGGGTTTATTTTGTGTTAGTTTGTGAGCACCTGCTCTGTATACATTTTGAATTAATGAAGTAAAGATTTGATTTTGAATGACATAATAATTCAAAACTCCATCTATTTCCCATTCCCCTACAGGCGCACGCACACACACAGACACATCCCAGTGTGAAATTGATGCGTGAGCCTTTTTTTTATTGAATCTACCTTCCTTCCCTCCCCTTATCCCTGAATGACCCTGTCACCTTGACAAATGTGGCTCGTGTAATTGGCTCACTATCATGGTTTAATGTAACTGGCCCCTTAAAAAAACTGTTTTGAGATCTCCATTCCTCCATTGTAGGAAGTATATTTTTTATATCATGCGTTTTGATTTAAAACGTCAAAGAGGTATCACTTTCCAGTTACATTTGTGGTGAAGAATTAATGCCATTTGGAACGAACTGCAGTTCACAAAACATTTCTCAGCCAATTCAATGCATCTGTTGCCCAAGGGCTAAAAACACACATCAATATTTCTTTTGTTGCAACTGCTTTCCACAACACACAAGCTAAACAACTAAATCAAAGGCTGATACAACCTGCATTATGGCCAACTCAACTGATTTGCAGCTAAAACTTTTTAATCAACATTTGTAATTTTCTGTACATCTTAATTATCCAATTGGTTTTACAGGGATGGTGACATTTAATGTTTAGTGTAGTTGCTTGTCCGTTTCCTCTCCACCACCATCACCACTCTGTGTGTTGTCCTGACAACTAAAATAACTCTTAAACAGAAGAAGCCATGAGAGGTCATACCAGGGCACTTATTTACAAAGCACCCAACATCCTCTGACAGTGCAGAACTAAATTCTTTCTAATGTGTGACAGGATTTACAGTTTCAGTTTTTGTATAGTTTTGCTCTTATGTCTGGTTATAATGGATAGCTTGGCTTCGCCTTATATGGTAATCTTAACAGAGGGTGACAACATAATTTGATGTTTGTACTGATAAACTCTTGTCCAAGATGTAATCATTTTATTGGCAAACTCCTACTGCATTACACTCCTGCTCTCTTACTAAATCAATTAAATTGTATCTCAGTGTTTATCACTCGATCCTCCAGTGTTAGTGTTAAAGCATTCAATCAGTGATTGCACTACAACAATAACTACAAATTAAATTTTTATAGCACCTTTCACATCGGCAGGACGTACCAAGGTACTGGTCAGTGAAGGAATAGTCATCATTCACAAGAACAACAATCTTTGATGTTTGTCTGAACAGTAAATATTTTCTGTACAATGAACAAGGATTTGACAAACGTCTCTTGGGAATTACTTGCTTGAACTGCTGGGTGAAGCCTGCATTGTTGGAAGTGCTGTCCTTCGGATGAGATGTAAGACCCAAGGTTCTGTCTGCTGTTCAGATGGACGTAAAAGATCCCATGGTGCTATTCGAAAAGAGAAGGGAGTAATTTCCAGTCTCCTGGCCAACAATCCCCAAAACAAAATTGGTCAGTCACTTCATGATTGTCTGTGGGACATTGCTGCGTGCAAATTGGTTGGGCCTTTGGGTACCAAAAGATCAGTTACACTAGTTGGGTTGCAGTGTAATTTGTATTAAGACGAGGCATGAGAGACATTATATGGCAATGATTATATATGCAAAATAATTATATTTAGTAGAAACACAATTTTGTTTGTTTTATTTATTTTTAAAAATCATCCATGAGAACATGGGTAGACCATTTATAATATATAATAATCCTTGCATTTGATATAGCGCTTTTCACGTCTTCTCAACTTCTCAGAGCGCTTCACAGAATAGACTGTAATGTGAATTGACCGTATATTTGTGGGCGAAACAGGGCAGCCAATTGCGCACAAGCAGTGTCCCACAAACAGTCATGGATTGAAAATGACCAATTTATTATTGTTTTGTTTTGGAGGGATTATTATTAGGCGTGTGGAGTAAGGAAATTTGCCCAAGGTTTCGCCCTGCCTGGAATTGAACTCAGATGTCTCGCTTGCAAAGCGAGTGCTCTAACCTCTGAGCTACAGGACTCCATTTGGCTATCGAGTCTGTTTGCTAAGCCAATTTCTTAGTAAATGGTAAATTGCATTGCAAGAATTGATTTTTCATTCATGGATGGATACTCTCCAGGTTTGAGTGATTTCAGTGCCGAAAATGTATCTCACTTTGGGGGATTTATTACATGTTATTCTATAACATTGTGCCGGTGTTTATACTCCACGTGAGCCTCTACCCAACCTAACTCCTCCCTACTTAGACCCCCCTCCCGACCATACCCTCCAATTCCCTTCTACCTCATGTATGTACATGTCTTCAACATGTACATGCACCTCTTGGTGACATCATCCCCAGACATGGGGTTAACTTTCACATGTATGTAGATGACACCCAACTCTATTTCTCTGCCTCCACCCTCGACTCCAGGACCACTGCTGTCCTGACAGAATGTCTGTCCGACATCAAGTTCTGGATGAGAGCTAACTTTCTACAGTTGAACAAGACCAAGGCTCTCCTGATTGGCTCCCATCAGGCCTCCACACCTCAGGCACTGACAGCATCACCATCCATGGATGCACACTCCACCTCATTGAGCCAGAACGAACCTTGGCATCTTGTTTGATCCTCAATTGTCCTTTGTTGAGATGTCTTCAATCCCACATCCGTGCCATGACCCACTCTGCCTTCCCCCACCTCCGCAACATCGCCCAGTTCCACCACTGACTCACCACTCAGGCTGCCAAAATCCTCATCCACGCATTCATCACACCTCGGCTCAACTACACCAACTCCCTGCCTGTCGGCCTTCCTAACTCTTTCCTCCACAAGCTGCAGATCATCCAGAACTCTGCATCTTGTGTCCTATCCTGCACAAGGCTCCGTGACCCATCACACCCACCCTTGCCCGGCTCCACTGGCTCCCCATGCCCCAGAGGATAGAGTTCAAAATTCTTGTCCTCACCTTCAAGGTCCTCCACGGCCTTTCCCTTCCCTACCTCTAGGACATTCTAACCTCATATCAACATCTCCTCCCAGTGGGCTCTGGCCCCACCCCACCATCAGCGGTCGGGCCTTCAGCTTCACTGCCCTACCCTTTGGAACTCCATCCCACAGTCCCTTCACCTCGCTCCCTCCCTTGCCTCCTTAAAGACATGTCTAAAGACTCTCCTCTTCGACCATGCTTTCGGCCACCCTTCTGCCCCTACCTTCCCTGTCCTTCACCCCTCCTGATCCCAACCTCCTACTCGCCTCCAAATCCCTGATTGTGCAGGGTGTTGGGACATCCTCCCAACGTGAAAGGCACTATAAAAATGTATTTGTTGTTGTTGTGTGCATGTTGCTATGAAACCTCATCTCTTTCTGCAGGTACAATATGGAATGTTTCCAGATAACTTCACATTTAATCTGCTAATGGATACTTTCATCAAGGAGGACGATTATAACAGTAAGTGAGCAAAGGAGAAGATTCACTTTAGTTTGTATAGTTCAAATAATGTGAAGGTTATTGTGATTTGAGAAGGGGATGTTACCCATCATTGACTTCAGAGAGTCTAGTTAAGAGAGGATAAATCAGGCAGAATTCCTAACTCTGAGCGCAAGCTCGCAAATCCAATCAGCCTTGCTGAGTAATCAATGTGCTTTTGGATGTTGAGTGAGCCCAGAACTGAGCTCAGATGGATGTGATGCCTCATGGTCGAGTGGCCTGTGGACGCTCCCTCATTCATGAAGAATGGCTGCTTGAGTGATCTGTTAGAGTGGTGCAGGCCTTCATGGAACTGTACTGCAGAATGAGTTACTGCCTCGAGACGGGGGTGGGGGGGGGGGGTGGGGAGTTGCTAGAGGGGAGATCAAATTGCATTCTACAATAGTTGCATACATTGAGTCCTCTCAGTTAACATAATCACGTGACTGAATTTCCAGTCCCATCTAATCTATAGGGATTGATTTGCATGTGCGGGAAGTGTGTCAACAGTGTGTTATTACGCCTATTATTAAATATTTGGGATCATTGAGAATTTTGAATGTTTATAGAATTGTTAATTTAGCTGAGGTAAGATTGATATACTTAACAACAACTTGCACCTACATAGATAGCACCTTTCACCTAGGATAAGCCAGAACAATTTTGGAAGAGAGTTCCAGAGAGTGGGGCTTAATGGCTGAAAGATCAGCCATCATTGTTGGGCTGGAGCGGGAAAGGGGACATGGAACAATACTGTATAAAGAAAGTGAGAGTCATTTTATTTTATTCCTGAATTGAGTATGTGCGATAAATTGAGCAAAATTTCTGTGCTAAAAACTTACTTATTCTTTCCACAGGCTCATTAGTTGTTGTCAATGAAATAATGCTACAAGAAGCCTTTGATGAGCCATGCACACAGCTTCTATCCCTTTATGTTCTACACAAATACCTGCAGGGAAAGCCAGATCTAAAGGTAAAGAAAAACTGAGATATGTTTTGGGCAGGAGTTCCAGAGATTTAAAGCTGACACTCAAACCTTATGGAATAGATGTATGGTGAACTTGTGATCTATAGGGATAATTAGCAAAGCAAGTTTCTTCTGTGGAAGTAGGATTCTAATTATTTTCATTTCAACCGAATGAAGCTGGACTTATTGGAAGTTGTCAGTATTTGTTCTCTTCACTCAACTGATGGTTGTGATGTTGGAGGCAAGAAGACAAAAGTGATTCAGAAAAGCACTATGGAGATACGGACCTTACTATCTCGCCTCTCAATCTTTCTTATAATGAAATGTATGAAAGACCCTCATAATGGAGCCACTAGATTCTGACGTACTGAAACTTTTCCAATGCAAACACTAATTCATTGTCCGTAGATGTAAGTATGTTTGATTCCATAAAAAAGAAAATTCATTGAATTCTTTTCAGCTGTTGTGTGCTGGTTGAGTTTATACATAAACCTGGCCCCAAATACTTGAGCAGTTGCACAAGGTATTTTTTTAGGCATGAGTTACAATTGAGGTTCTCGATGTTGTAGTGAGTAAATGTGCAAAGTCTAAGATCTTAGTGTTTCAACATTATACATATTGAATGTGATTCTTAATCAATTTAACAAAACAGTATCTTTAATCCTTTGAATACTTAACTATGTTTTCTGCACTCAAACAAAGCTTCACCTTCAATCTTTGTTTTAAGTTTCAAAGTATAAGAACATAAGAAATGCTAGACGAAAAAAGACCAAGGTCCATCTAGTTCGCCTTCCACCTTCTTGGTGGTCGCATGCACATATGTCCCAAACTACCTATGTACTATATCCCATAATGTTATTTCCTAAAAGAAAACTATCTAATCTGTGTTTGAAAGAATCAACACTTCCTGCTTCAATCGTCTCCCTAGGGAGCCTGTTCCATAGGTTCACTATTCGCTCACTGAAATAGTGTTTGCATAAATTTGTTCTGAATTTACCCCCTTCAATCGCAGGCCGTGTCCTCTGGTTCTATTTTGGACAAGTTGAAACAGCCTGTCATGATCTATATTGTCGAGCCCCATTAGAATCTTAAAGACAGCAATCATGTCGCCTCCCAATCTTCTCTTTTCCAGCATGAACATGCCCAATTTACTTAGTAGCTCCTTTCCCCTACCAACCCGCCCGCTCCCTCCGCTCAGCCGGCTCTGGCCTGCTCCACGTCCCCCGACCCACCCACCCCACCACTGGCGGGAGAGCCTACAGCCACTCTGCCCCCAACCTCTGGAATTCCATCCCCCAATCACCCGCCTCACTCCCACCTTATCCTCCTTCAAGTCCCGCCTCAAGACCCTCCTCTTCAACCATGCCATCGGCCACCCCCCTTCCCCTCCCCTCCCCTTTCCCCCCCTGACTCCAGCTCGGGTCTGAAATGCTGTACACTGTCCAGCACCTTGGGACATCCTCCCGATGTGAAAGGCACCATACAAATGTAATCTTGTTGTTGTATAGTCCAGTCCTTTTATTCCCTCGATCATTTTGGTTGCCCTTCTCAGTATCTTCTCGACTTCTCCAATATCCTTTTTGTGCTGCGGCATCCAGTACTGTACACAGTACTCTTTAAGTCTAGTCTCAACACTGATTTATACAGCGGCAGGATTACCCCACTATTTTGGTTTGATGCAGACTATATATTTTGTAAAATATAGAATTCAAGACACACGTAGCATAAAATATCCATTGTCAGTAGTATTCCTGGAATTACAAGAGCCTCAAAACTGGTAACATTTATGATTTTGCTGAAATGGTCCTGCCATTCTCAAAGGGAGTAATGGGAGGTTTACCCCATGACCTGCTTTACTTTTCCTGTGAATTTCCAATTAAACCACAATCTATTAAAATCTATCTCAAATTATTTTCATAAAGGCACATTTGTACTTTTTATCTTGTGCACATACAAATCAATCCTGCCAAATTGTGAAAAGATCTAAAAAAACAGTTGCGTGGAAGATTGTGTGCAGCTGCACTTAATGTGTGATGGGTTGTTTATTGCGCTTTTTAATTGATGGAGCAGTTATTGTGTTGTGGTTGGCACTTGTTAAATGTAAAACGCATCAGCAGTCATATGTGAAATCTCTGAAAACCATAATTTATTTTAAAAAGGCAAGATCTCATAAAAATTATGGTAATCTTTGAACCTGTACATTTTACAAAAACTTGCATTGAAAGTACACTCAGGCTATATTCATGTTAATATGCCATCTGAACTGTTTTATATTTGGAGGTTTAGGTTACATGAAGCTGTGGTTGCCACAGGTTTATAGATTTGCTACTGTTGGTTGGTTTGTTCGTACAACTTCATTTTCTTTCTCAGTGGGAGGATGAGCGGAATCTGGGAGCAGCTTTATTGCTGGTGGGGTTGACACAGGACAACACAGTTGGTTTTAGCTCCCGTCTTCTGGGCCATGTATTTCTAGGTACGTATTATACTACCGTTCCCCATAACACACCTGTTACTATACAGTATTATAACACACACTACTTATAGTACTTACAGTACGAAGCAAGGACTCCAGCAGTGCGAGGAGGGAACTGAGTGAGGTGGAACAAATTCCTTTCCGTTAAAGAATTTGGTGAGAGTGGGAATTCTTCAGCAAGAGAGAACTCTTTCATTCAGCAGAAGAGTGGTAAATCTTTCTTGAGGTAGAGGCAACTTTATATGTAAGCAGGCAAATCAGTCAATTCACAGTTAATCATAAGCCAGGTGTTGAGGATTAATGAGGTGGAACAGAGTGAGAATTCCGTTAAGGAATTTGGTGAGAGTGGGAATTCTTTGCAGAGGGGGAAAGAGGTGCATAATTATAAAATTATATCTGAGGATATGGCAGGGCAGCTGAGAACGGTTGCATGCACAATGTGTGCTGCGTGGGAACTCCAGGATGCTTTCTGTGCCTTGGACAAGCGCGTGTGTAGGAAGTGCCTCCAGCAGCTCGAGCTTGAGCTCAGGATTTCTGAGCTGGAGGAGAGGCTGGTGTCACTACATAGTCCTGTAGCTCAGTTGTTAGACCACTCGCCTTGCAAGCAAGACACCTGGGTTCAATTCCAGGCAGGGCGAAACCTTGGGCAAGTTTCCTTACTCCACACACCTAATAATAATCCCTCCAAAACCAAACAATAATAAATTGGTCATTTTCAATCCACGACTCTTTGTGGGAAACTGCTGTGTGCAATTGGCTGCCACGTTTCGCCCACAAATATACAGTCAAGTCACTTTACAGAATATTCTGTGAAGCGCTTTGAGATGTCTAGAAGACGTGAAAAGCACTAAATCAAATGCAAGGATTATTATTTTTGTTATAGCATATGGGAGGCTGAAGAGTTCATGGATCAAACGTTTCAGGAAGTAGTCACCCCACAGCCACAGGGTGAGTGAGTGGCTGACCATACAGCATGGTAGGAAGAGGGGACGGGCAGTGCAGAAATCCCCAGAGAGTGTGGTACTTACAAACCGGTTCTCTGTACTGAATACCGGTGAGGTTGATGACACCTCTGGGGAAAGGAGTCAAAAGCAAATAGATGCACACGGGGACACAGGAACGAGTTTCAATGCAATTGTCATTGGGGACACAACGGTGAAAGGAGTAGACAGACATTTCTGCAACCAAAAATGTGACTCTCACATGGTATGTTGCTTCCCTGGTGCCAAGGTTAAAGACATCACAGGATGCAAAACATTCTACAGGGGGAAGGGGAACATCCAGAAGTCGTGGTCCATGTTGAGATCCATGATCTATGGGAAAAAAGGGCTGAAATCCTACAGGAAGGGGATCAGAAGCTAGGGAAAAAGATAAGGAGTAGGACTTCAAAGGTGTTGATATCTGGATTGCTCTCAGGGCCTCATGCAAGTGAGTATCAAAACAGCAGGATCAAATACATGAATGCTTGGCTGGAGAAATGGTGCAGAAAGGAGGGCTTCAGGTTCCTGGAACATTGGGACCAGTTCTGGGGCAGTTGGGACCTGTACAAAGTGGATGGGTTAAACCTGGGACTAATGTCCTCGCAGGGAGGTTAACTAGCGTTATTGGGAAAGGTTTAAGCTAATTTTGAGGGGGGAATGAAATCAGGACGTAGAATCAGAGAGAAGAAACAAGTTACATAGAGGGCTGGGAGAGACGAATAGCAGTGTGATAAAGAGTAGTCCAAAAAAAGGAAGGATTAGATGGGGGAGAAATGCAGAGCAGAACCAGTCAGTCTTGGAGTGCATGTGCGTAAATGCACGGAGTGTGATAAATAAGATTGGTGAGCTGAAGGCTCAAGTTGCCACATGGGGTTATGATGTAGTGGGAATAACAGAGACCTGGCTCAAACAAGGGCAGGAATGAGAGCTGAATATTCCTGGCTACAATATATTCAGGAGTGATAGGGAAGGAAAAAAAGGAGTGGAGGGGTGGGAATATTGATTAAAGACATGGTTACTGCCCTGGAAAAGGACAGTGTGCTACAGGGTCCAAAACAGAATCTATTTGGTTAGAATTAAGCAACAGAAAAGTAGCTGTTACCCTGTTAGTATATACTATAGACCACCAAATAGTGGGAAGGAGATAGATGAGTAAATCTGCAAGCAGATTTCAGAAAGGTGCAAAACCCATAGAGTAGTGATAATGGGGGACTTCAATTATCCTAATATAGACTAGCAAAATAAAGAAGGGGAAGGATTCCTAAATGTGTGCAGGATAACTTTCTGGATCAGTATGTTTCCAGCCCAACGAGGAAGGAAGCAGTGCTGGATCTAGTTCTGGGGAATGAAGTGGGGCAAGTGGAGCAGGTTTCAGTAGGAGAGCATCTGGACAACAGTGATCACAACATCATTAGGTTTAGAGTAATTATGGAAAGAGACAAGGAACAATCAAAGGTGAAGATACTCAACTGGAAGAGGGCTAATTTCAGTGAGTTAAAAAGGGACCCAGCCAAGGTGGACTGGAAGGAAAGATTGGCAAGTAAAACAGCTAATGAGCAATGGGAAGCCTTCAAGGAGGAGAAATTTTGGGGACGGAACACATACATTACCATAAAGGGGAAAGGTGGGGCATCCAAACCTCCCGGGATGACTAAGGAAATTGAGATTAAAGTAAAACAGAAACGGGAGGCTTATGATAAATGTCATGTCCAAAATACAGAGAATAATCAAATAAAATATAGAAAGTACAGAGGAGAACTGAAAAAGGAAATAAGAGGGGCAAAGAGATTATGAGCTAAGATTAGCGAGTAACAGAAGAGGGAACCCTAAGGTATTTTATAAGCATATAACGAATAAAAGATTAGTCAAAGGCAGGATGGGTCCAATTAGAGACCAAAGAGGAAATGTTCTTGTGGAGGCTGACATACTGAATGTATACTTTACTTTGCATCTGTCTTCATAAAAGAGGATGCAGCCAATGCTCACTTGTCGAAGGAGAGGATAGAGAAATTGGATAAGATAAGAATAAACCAAGAGGAGGTACCAAAAAAGGTTGACAGTGCTTAAGATAGATAAGTCACTCAGTCCGGACGGGATGCATCCTAGGTTACTGAGGGAAGTAAGGGTGGAAACAACGGAGGATCTGGCCACAATCCTTCAATCCTCCTTGGACACTGGGGTGGTGCCAGAGGACTGTAGGGTTGTAAATGTTACTCCCATGTACAAAAAGGGACAGAAGGATAAACCCAGGAACTACAGGCCAGTCAGCCTAACTTCAGTAGTGGAGAAACTTCTAGAGACAATAATCCAGGGCAAAATAAATTTTCACTTAGAAAAATCTTGGTTAATAAAGGACAGCCAATATGGGTTTGTTAAAGGCAAATCGTGTCTGACAAACCTGATAGAGGGTGGATGAAGGTAGTGCAGTTGATATAGTTTATACGGATTTTCAAAAGGCATTTGATAAAGTGCCACATAAGAGACTTGTAAGCAAAATAGAAGCCCACGGTATTAAAGGGACAGTGGCAGCATGGATACAGACCTGGCTGGGAGACAGAAAGTAGAGTGGTGGTGAACGGTTGTTTTTCTGATTGGAGGAAAGTTCGCAGTGGGATCCACCATGGTCAGCATTGGGACCACTGCTGTTTCTGATCCATGTAAATGACCTGGACTTGGGTATAGGGAGTACAATTTCCAAGTTTGCAGATGATACTAAGCGGGAAAAGTAGTAAACAGTGAGGAGGATAGTAGCAGACTGGAAGGGGACATACACAGATTGTTAAAGTGGGCAGACACGTGGCAGATGAAGTTTTATGTAGAGAAATGTGAAGTGATGTATTTTGGGAGGAAGAATGAGCAGAGGCAATATAAGCTGATGGTACAATCTTAAAGGGGGTAAAGGAACAGAGAGACCTGGGGGGTTGTATAAGTAAATCTTGGAAGCTGACAGGACAGGTAGATAAAGCTGTTTAAATAAAGCATACGGATACTAGGCTTTATAAATAGGGGCATAACAGTCAGGAAGTTATGATGAACCTTTATAAAACACTGGTTAGTCCTCAGCTAGAGTACTGGGTTCAGTTCTGGGCACCACACTTTAGGAAGGATGTCAAGACATTGGAGAGGGTGCAAAGGAGATTTACCAGGATGGTACCGGGAATGAGGGACTCCAATTATCAACAACAATAACTTGGATTTGGATTTATATAGACCCCTCCATGCCAGACGGTGATTCAGGAGAGGCTAGAGAAGCTAGGATTATTCTCCTTGGAGCTAAGAAGGTTAAGAGGAGACTTAATAGAAGTTTTCAAAATTATGAGGGATTCGATAGGGTGAACAAGGAGAAACTGTTTCCACTGGCGGGTGGGTCGGTAACCCGAGGACACCAACTTAAAATAGTTATTAAAAGAAACAGAGGGGAGGTGAGGAGAATTTTTTTTTTTACACAGCAAGTTATTTGGATCTGGAATGCATTGCCTGAAAGGGTAGTGGAAGCCAATTCGATAATTTTTAAGAAAGAAATAGATAATTATTTGGGGATGGTAAGTTTGCAGGGCTATGCGGAGAGGCCAGGGGAATGGAATTCATTTGGATAGCTCTTTTCAAGATGGGCCGAATGGCCTCCTTCTATGCTCTATGATTCTATAATTCTAACTGCACCATGGACAGACTACTGCACATGAATGTGCTTCTGACACTGCTTACTTCACTGGTCCTTACTGACATTGTGAAGGTGCAGAAGGCTTCCCGGCTTCCAGTGGTGTCCTGGCAACTGTTGAAAATGCTCGAGAGAGAGAGAGAGAGAGAGAGAGAGAGCTGCCAGCTTCCTGTGTGCTGTGTCCTGTGATGTAATGTCAGGGCAAACTGTTGACCCGCAAGCACTGACCAGGAGTCACTTTTGTCGAACTTCCTGTCATAACACAGTCTTGAGTTTATGCACCATGCATTATAAGGGAAAATGTATAATATAAAAATATTTTGAGAGTGCCTTTGACACCAGCCTGAAATACCATTATGCTTCAACTTTCCAAAATCTTTTAACAGGAAGAGTTGAGCTGACTAAGGGGATCCGTGCTGTGTACACCAAAATGCCCCTGATGTGGACTCGGGGTTATCTAAATCGAGCTCTAAATGTGATGGAGGAAGTGGTGAAAGCAACCAATGGAGCAAAGCTTTGTAAAGATGCGGTAAGCAACAACCATTTTAAAAACTTATTTCTACTGTCCTTTGCCCAGCTAACATGGATTTCAGCTGTGTATTGACGTGGACTTTTAACCTTCTTTCTTACTTTTTAACTCTGTATTTGTGCTGCCTCAAGCTGCACAAAGAGCAACACTCAAACGCTGGAGACGCTCTTACTGTTGCAGCCATAACCTTTCCATACGAGAAATGTGTGGAGTTTTCTAGATTTTGTTTGTACTTATGATATAATGACATCAATGTGGTACATGACACAATGATATGATTGGATACATGACATGGCATTGTATATTTTTGTGCAACCTGATCAGCCTGACGTAAATAATTATGGTAGAGGCTGGGTTTGCTCATTTACCCATCTCCGCTATCACCTACCTGAGTCAGACATCAATATAATGGGATGACATCGTGCATTCAGAAAGTCATTGGTTCAATTGTGTTGTTAGTGATTCTCAGTTGAGGCTTAGTTGAAGGCTATAATTGGCCATAGCGCCTCAAGGCTAGGAAGGGGAAATATTAGCCTAGGTTCAGACTCTGCTGCAATTCAGTTAGCTTGCTTACTGTCTAGACCACTGGTGGCCAACCTTTTTGATTAGGCAACTAAATACATTTTTCTTTATTGAATTTGAATTGAATGCCACAACGATATCATTGGGTACATAACACAGCATTATATATTTTTGGCATTGTATATTTTCTTTATTGAATATTGGTGCCACTTTTGTCCAAATCAATACCATGTTTCCAGTAGCTAATGAGCTGCGATACCCATGGCATGGCCATAAATTAAGAAAAATTCAATAAAGAAAAAATTATTTGTTTGGCCACCACTGGTCTAGACAAACACATGAATGGCTATTTGCTTAAGGTACTATGAGGCTGCTGGTGCCTGTGAAATTGTATTACATTAGGAGTCAATGGCTTCTAAAGAAGAAGGAAAAAGGGTAAATACTTGGCAATAAATCCCAAATGTGAAATTATTATCTGTAGCTTGGATATATATTATTTTTTCCTTCTTCCCAGCTCTTAAAAATGCTGCCTGCATCAATGTAAAGGTTACATTTACAACCTTATCAAAGGGTTTTTTTCATGTTCAAAAGAAAAGATTAAGATCTTTCATCCTTAATATCTACGCAAAACATCCATCCATTATTAATGATGGTAAGATAGTACATTCTGCACTACTGCAGTTTCTTATGATGGCATTTGAAATTCAGATTATTTTGCTGTGCTGCTAATAGATATCCAGGGCCACACTAAATGAACCATTCTACACGGGGAGGGAGGTATGTAGGGTCTTTCTGGGACTGAATTGCTTCCAAGGTGACGTCTGATAATGAAATGTCAGAATCGAATTGACCCTTTATAGTGGTGTCAGCTGTTCCAGAGCCAGGTAGGTCTACAGTAGTTCAAAATCCTGTTGTTAAGCAATTAACCAGCATGACTCATCAGCCAATTGCACACACCAGTGTCCCACAAACAGTCATGGAATGAGTGACCACAAAATAAAATAAATTATTATTTGTATTTATTTATTATGCTACATAGGTCGGGAAATTTCCCAGTGTAGGGACAATCACAGCCTAACTGTTGGGTGTTTATTTGTAGGAATGAACAACAAAAAGACAATTTCGAAGAAGGGACAGAAGGGGGCAAATTCTCATTGAGAAATAGAGCTTCAGCTTCTCCAAGTGAGCCATTGATTCCCATCAACCAGGGTAGAGCAGGCAGAGAGTGACTTGATGAAGAATGTCTATTTGCATACGTATGTTGTTTTCCACTCTCCAACACAGCGCAGTTTACGTCAGCGGGAGCATGGTGCTGCATGCAGTGCTGCAATCTGGCACCTTTCAGAATGCTAAAGTGTCAAGGTTATGAGTAAAATGTTGAATTTTAGAAATTTTGAAATAGAATTCTTGTGTCCTCAGCTACTCTATGTGGGATCTGCTCAATGGCAAAGGGAGAGAAGCTATTTAGGTTTCCAAGGAGCAAGTCGACCCCCCTTGGTACCTCTCCAGCAGAGCGCAAACATCGCTCGCTCCAAATGGCAAAGCACCTGTAAGGAACCTGAGAATTATAAACTCGATGAACCAGACATTGGGGCTATTATGCATCATGTGTAAAGGCTGATGTACACTTGGAATTATAGGTGCCCTAATTATGTAGTTAACCAGCTATGAAAGTAATTGATTGTTAAGTACGCAATTGATAAATTTGTTTAATTGGTTGATAATTAACATAATTAAGGGCACCTCTAATTTCCTCTATATGATCTATACCCGGTGCTTATTGCAGATTTTTGCATATAGTTAGCACACGGTGCACTATACACCCTGTCCTGCTTCCCTGACAATGGATCATTTTACTCTGTCTGGTGTTAAATGTAGTGGCTCATTGAACACTCTTAAAACTTGCTCATCTGAGGCAAGCTAGTTTGAGAGGCAGCTCTGGGAAACCCTGGGAAAGAGTGCCTGATTTTCTGATTAGAAATCATTTGAGTTCCTGGGCACCTACAGTATCTTACATTTTAATGCACTTCAAAAATCTTTTAACTCACAAAGGACTATGGTCAGGAACTCTTGAATCACTGTTACCATTTTGCTCCGTACCTATTCTCATAATGAAGCATCGATTCAGCAAAGGATACACTTTCCTCCCATTCCATACTACTGTCTACACAGTGAAATTGCACTGTGCCCTGAGGGAAATCGCTGAGCAGTAGCCCCCATAATGTTGGCAATTGACAATCTAATTTAATTGCCAGTAACTGTCTGTTGCTGTTAACATCCTCCAAACATTTTAGCTGGTTCACAGAAGTGAAGCTGTTTGTATTTACTCTATGCTATCATTATCCCGTTTACAGCACATACCAAGTTTAACCGTTTAAGGATCTGAGATTTAGAAATTCCACTTGGTTTTAGCCTTGAAAATTTTGCCTGAATTTTTCAGATTAAATGTAGTCATAATTTATGGCCTTTTTTTCTATAGTTAAATACAATACAAATAGATGTGGACCTGAGTGAATAGGCACACAATCTTCTTTTTAAAAGCTCATTAAAACCAACTGGACACGCGTCTGATACCCCTAATGGTTAGATAACCCACTGGAAAGGTTTATTATTATTAATAAACATCCTTATATTTGATATAGTGTACTTCACATTGGGAGATAAAAGTGCTTCAGAAGATGTACTGTAGTGTGTTATGTAGTCTGGGCAAATGCAGCAGCCAATTTGCACATAACAGTTTCCCCAAAACAGCCATGAAGTGACTGACCAATTTTATCTGGGTATTGTTGGCCAGGACAATATGTCTTCATATAGTACTACAGGATCTTTAACATGAAAACACCTCTGGGGCCTTGGGTTAAACATCTCATCCTCAGAACAGCACTTTTGACAATGCAGCACACCCCCAGCACATGTGTTAGTTTTTACTTTACATGAGATTCCAAGTCCCAACAACAACAAAATTGCATTTATAGAGCGCCTTTCACGTCGGGAGGACGTCCAAGGCACTGGACAGTCAGGGGTCAGGACCCGAGCATGGGGGAGGGGTGGGGTAGGGGTGAGGGAAGGCAGAGAGGTGGGAGGGCGACCAAAGGCATGATCGAAAAGGAGGGTCTGGGAGGAAGCAAGGCGAAGGGACTCTGGGATGGAGATCCAGTGTGGGGGCAGAGAGGCTAAAAGCTCGGCCACCGATGGTAGTACGGGTCAGGCGGGAGACATGGATCAGGCCGGAGCCCGCTGAACGGAGGGAGCGGGCAGGTTGGTAGGGAGTCAGCAGGTCAGAGAGGTAGCAGGGTCAAGGCCATGGATGGCCTTGAAAGTGAGAACGAGGATCCTGAATTTGATCCTCTGAGGGATAGGGAGCCAGTAGAGTCGGGCGAGGGTGGGAGTGATGGGGTCACGGAGCCTGGTGCGTGAGAGTACACGAGCTGCAGAGTTTAGGATGATCTGCAGCTTGTGAAGGGAAGAGTTGGGAAGGCCGATGCTTGAACCCAAACCTTTTGACTTGGAGGTGAGAGTGCCACCAACTGAGCCTGGCTGACACACAAAGGCTTAATAGACTAATTTTGATAGTAGAAAATTCAACAAATTGAATTGTGAAAATATTTGAAGAAATAAATTGGGTTGATGCATCTTAACTCATTGTTTGCACCTATTTCCCGATTTTGTGAAGTGCTTGCACACATTGAAAGGTGCTCTATACAATTGTTGTTCTTTGGAAGATCAAAAGAATATCCTTTATTATTATAAAGGAAAAGCAAATTGTTTAAAAGAAACACAGTTGAAAGTTCCAGAAAGGAACAAGAGAAAATAATAAAATAATCTAACTTTAAAACATTTCTTGAAAGGAAAATCTGGAAACAAAAAGAAAAAATTGAAAAAAAAGACTTACAACAGATGTTTAGCAAAATTTATAAATGTTTATGTGTTTGTATAACCAAAGGATAACATGTCCTTCACACTTTTTGTAGGGTAGAATATGTCATTTCAGATCATGGAGAAAAATAATGATAATATTGAAAGTCATTAAACTGGAGTATGCACAGGATAACCGAATGAGATGGAGTGCATCCAAGTGTACTTTTAAGGAAATCAGGACAGAAGTGGTGGAGAATAGTGGACCAGTGCCTAAAATGTTTTCCAGTTCATTACTGTAGAGGCAGTAGTACCAGATGGTTGGAAAAAAGCTTAACTTTTTTTCTAAAAGAGGTCAGAAACCTGATTCCAGGAATTTCAAGATGACTTCTGTTGGAGGAAAAACACTGGAGTCTGTTACAAAGGAAGCAATTCAAGACCATTCAACAGGAATAAAGTAATAATTTCGAGCCAACATGAGTTTATGAAAGGCAGATCATGCCTAACCAATTTACGGGAATTCCTTTGAGGATAAAGCAGGACTGTTGGCTGAGGGTAATGTGGTGGATGCTAAACATCTTGCCTTTTTGAAGACATTTGATAAGGTGCCTGACAGGAACCTT